GCAGGACAGAAGACGCCTCCTGCTGCCTCCAAGTCACACAAACATCAGCAGAGTTCTTCCTCCTGACTCCATGAAGACTTTGCTCTCATCTCTCCAAAGGTAACAGATGTCTGATGTTTGAAGGAGACTGGGAGTTTCATGGAGGAAAGTGTTATTATTTCAACATCTATGGACTCACCTGGGAGGAGAGCAAACATTGCTGCAGAGATCATGGAGGAGATCTGGTGAAGATCGACAGCAGAGTGGAGCAGGTATGAAACATTGCTGCAGGTTCATGTTCTCACAGGTTTCAGCACAGAAACTTTGACACAGACTTTTTTGATCAAGTTCAAATTTTCTTTATTATAGTCATTCTCATCACATGTGGTACATAAGGTGGAACGAAATTATGGATTCAGGGACCTAGTTAGACCCTTAAAAATAGCAAAAATATCCCATCCATCCATGAAATCAGCAGCATAGTTAATCAGCAGCAAAGATAAGTCATATCACCAATTAAAATGACATCACAGTGATTATTCTGGTTAGAGATTCATAAGTCTAACAGCCTCAGGGTAGAAGCTGTTCCTCAGTCTAGTGGTTTTACACTTAATGCTCCTCAACCTCCTTCCTGAGGGGAGTGGGGCAAAAAGTGTGTGCTGGGTGAGTGTGGTCCTTCATGATGCAGGTGGCCCTCTTCCTGCATCTGGAGGTGTAGATGTCTGTGATGGTGGGGAGGCTGACTCCAACATCTTCTGTGCAGCCTTCACCACTCTCTGCAAAGCTTTTCTTTCTGCAGCTGTGCAGCCTCCATGCCACACATTGATGCTGGAGCACAGGATGCTCTCCACTGCACACCTGTAGAAGGAGGTGAGGACTGAGCTTCCAGACCAGCTCGCCTCAGCAGCCTGAGGAAGTAGAGTCTCTGATGAGCTTTCTTGATCAGGTCTGGTTTTTCAGACAGACACAGGCCAGATACATCGGCCTCATCGTGTCAAGATCCACAGCATTATATGTTCCCCCATCATTCATAACACTGGCTTTCCACAGGGGTGTGTCCTCAGCCCCCTCCTGTACACGCTGTTCACATACAACTGTTCAGCTAAACACTCAAGAGATTTGAATTATGAAATTTGCAGATGACACAATTGTTGCAGGACTGATGTCCCACATTAATAAGCTATCCTACCAGAGGGAGGTAGAGGACCTTGTGGACTGGTGTGGGCTGCACAACCTCCACCTTAAAGTAGGGAAGGCAAAGGAGATGGTGGTGGACTTCAGGAGGAGTCACACCCACTCTCCACTGGTCATCAGAGGCACAGCTGTGGAAATGGTCCACAGCTTCAAATATCTGGGAGTCCACATTTCCAGGGACCTGACATGGACCGTTAACACTCAGAACATCATCACCAAGGCCCACCAGTGCCTGAACTTCCTCAGGACGCAGAGAGAGGCAGGTATCATCTCCTCAGTGTTGGCAGCCTTCTACTGGTGTGTGGCGAGGACACTCACCTTCTCCATCACCGCCTGGTACGGAAACTTCTCCACTGGAAGGTGCTGCAAAGTGAAGACATCTGCCCAGAGAACCAGTCACTGTAGCTTCCCTTCTCTGGAGGACATCTTCACTAGAAGGAGCAGGGCAGCTTGCATCATGAAGGACCCCACCCACCCTGCTCATAAACTGTTTGACCCCCTCCCCTCAGGTTGTGGAGCATTCAGGCCAGAACAACAAGTTTCAAACGCAGCGTTTACCTTGAAGCAGTCGGACTGGTCACTTATTTGGGAGTCTAAGTTTTTATGTACACCACATGCCCTGGAGACATATTCCATCTTTGCGTTTCACTTACGATGACAGAATGAATCGAACTGAACTGAATTGTTCCACAGAGACGTTTCAAACAACTTTTACTGTTCAGGAGTTTCTGGTGAGAACAGGGAGGAACAGGACTGATGCGTGGGATGACTTCTGGATCGGACTGACGGACTCAGAGACTGAAGACAGCTGGTTGTGGACAGATGGATCACCTTTGAAGACAAGGTTTGATTGTTGAGAAAATCCATAAAAAGTATAAAAAAAAACAACTGGACTTGTATTCTGAAGCTGAAGATGTTTCTCTTCCCATCTGGGGGAATTCATCATTTCTAAAATGTCTGGAGTGTGTGGAGCTCACAGCTTTAGAGACCTGCATGAGAGGTCTGGTTGTGGATCATCTGCAGGTTAGACAGGAACTACTCGTCCTCACAGTGGAGGCTCGTCAGGCTCTTTGTCTGACCCACAGATGTTTGGGTCACCTGCATGAAGGTGTGAATTAGAATAGAACTGACCTGGGATCAGGCCTAAGACTGCACGCTTTAGAAAGTTTCAGAGACCTCCTCCTCCATTTAAAGATTTTTTTTCATGTTTGCTGTAAATGGCTTCCTTCATCCCCCTCTCAAACCGTTGGACTTCTCTGTCCAACATCTGGACCTGTTGGTCCTCAGCAGAATGTCCCTTATCGTTGGGGTGTAGATGGACTACAGAGTCTGGTCATGAAGAGCTGCTCTGCATCTGTGGGCACGTTTAGTTTCTCCAACATAGAGGTCTGAACATTCCTGACTTCCCAGCGAGCCCTGGACTCTTTCAGAGAAACGACACCGAGCCACTGGTTCAGCTGTGAGGAGGACACTTGGGTCCAGTTCAGCTTCGGAATCAAAGTCCAGATGTTTTGTTTTTGAACCTGTTTTGGATTCATCATGTCCTGGATGACTGAGAGTCTTCACCAGCAGATTATTGACAAGAGAGTTTGGTTTATTTCAAGAGTTGAGTTCAGAGTTTTTCCAGTTAAATCACTTGTTTTTTCTGTTCTTCATGTCTTAGTTTGAGCTTCTGGAACACCGGAGAGCCCAACAATGTGAACAATTTGAATCCCGAAGGAGAAGACTGTGTGAGGATAGAAGTGACAAGAAAATATGGACCTCTGACCACCTGGAACGATAAGGACTGTTTTTTTCCTTCAAAAAGCATCTGTGAGAAATCTGCAGCATCTGAGCAGAGTTCATGTGTCGGAGTGTGAAGCTCAGATCATCTCAGTCCAGGATCCAGAAGGAGCAGCCGGGCTGCATTCAGGAACTTAACTTTAGTCAGCTTTGGTTCTTCTGCTTTGGTTCTTCTTAATTCTGTCATGTTGTGCAGATTAGGATTATTGATTGCTTGATAATTAAAGTTCTAGTTTCTGATCTTCATCCACCTGCTGCCTCCCGTTGGTCTTCTTCAGCTTCGAGCCATTAAACTCACACCCAGAACACTTGCTCAACCTCAAAATATGACCGTGACACAAACTCTTCCCAGAGCTGCTATATATAATATAAAATATAATATAATGTACTATAATATATAATATACTATAATATAATGAACTATAATATAATGTACTATAATATA